CCGGGCAGTGTTACTGACTGAAGTATCTTTAGGCCATTCCCAAAGGGGGAATATTAACATGTTCTCATGCACAGTAGAATTGTAAATGGGCTGATATATCAATGTCATGCTCATACTGTGCTGGAACAACATAGGGGGAACTGCTGCTTTTTCTTTTCACTTCCTTACTATCGCCATTTTTCCTCTACTTCTTTTGTATGTTTGTCACTCTCTTGCGAACTGCAATTTCCGGAGTGCCATGATAGTCGAAGCAGACTTTGTGCTGTTGCAGCTAGGGAGGTGAGCAGAGAAAGCCTGATTCCTCATTTGGACTTCTCAGTTGACATCCACCCCTTGGCGCTCATATGACCTTATGCAGATGCGAGTGCTATAAAACCTTACTAAAACAAAAAAACAGTTTAGAACATTCAGGTAGTGGTTAAGGAAGGTAGGTCTTTACACCCTTTTTAACACAATTGAAGCAATTTTGATGTGGTCAAGGAAGGTAGCTTTTTACACCCTTTTTAGCACAGTTTTGATTATTTAATTAATGTTCAAAGAAGGTAGATTTTTGTCTTTTCTTCAACACAATTCTGATCATTTAGATGGTGGTCAAGGAAGGTAAGTCTTCACACCCCTTGAGAACCGAACTCAAAATATTTTGCATGCATAGTGCAAAACTTCACGAAATCACAACAGATTCCAGTGCCTGGAATTTGTGAGGTTTTTATCTGATCTGGGGTCTATTTATACCGTGTTGATGTTTGACAATTTCTAAATTAGTAAGTTGAGGAAATGGGGATAGAAATATTTTGTCAATTTTTTTTCAATTTTTAGACCGGACCTAGTTTGTAAAGGTTTGTGTGACTCTTTGTTCTTTCCTTATTGCTCAGAATACATTTACACACCTTTAACAAAATATAAAATGACTGCTCTTTTGACTGTAGGTCACTATTTTGTTTAGTCTTGAGCGTATTCCTTGGGTTGGACTTCTTCATGGTTTAGTATCAAGAAGACTGAATTATTGGAAAAGAATAATTTTGGAGAATGAATTATTGGAGATAAATAATTTTGGAGAATGAATTATTGGAGAGAAATAATTTTGGAGAATGAATTATCATCATCATTGCCTTTTTCTCCCTGGATCAGGATATAGGCAACGAACAAACACTTTCCACTTCTCCCTATCCTGGGCTAGTCGCTTGATGTCACTCCATGTCTTCCTACTTTTCTGTACATCCAGAATGAATTATGGGAGAGGAATAATATTATGCTATCTTTTTAATTGTCATAACAGCAAAAATTGTTCTGTCATAATACAATTGATATGTCTGATCTCAGACTCAAACCCAAAACCTTTCACCATGTCTCCCCCAGCTCCACATCGAGGTGCCGTGGTGTGGTTTGCTCCTTCTTTCCTATAAAAAATCTAACATCTTTAACTCTCCTCCTTCTTTTTTGTGTTTGTTTCTCTCTTGTAACTACTCTAATCTTCGGCACTTATATGAGATTGTCGTGTAGCAAGTGCCGTAAAACTCTTATGAAAACCAAACTCAAACCCAAACCTTTCCACCGTATCTCCCCAGCTCCACGTCGAGGCGGAGGTTCACCTGGAGGTGATGTTCTTCAACGAGCGAGTCAGCGTATGGGAGCCTATGGTAGAGCCCGTAATGGAGAAGGAGGGCATGTACCGGTCCTGGGAGATGCTGGTTAAGGTAAAGGCAGAGAGAGAAAGAGAGAGAGATAGGGGGTTGAGAGAGAGAGGGGAGGGGAGAGAGAGAGGGGGGAGAGATAGAGAGAGGGGGGGGAGAGACCAAGAGAGTGAGAGAGAGGGAGAGAGAGAGGAGGGGGGAGGGAGGAAGGGAGAGGGGGGAGAGAAGGAGGATGAGAGATGCTGGTCAAGGTAATGTGTGAGAGAGAGACTGAGATGGAGGGAGACAGAAAGAGAGCGAGACAAAGAGAAGAGGGAGAGGGAGAAAGAGAGGAATGGGTCTGCAGGTCCTTGGAGATGTTGGTCAGGGTAATGTGACCAGGGTAGTGGAGGGGGAGTAAAAGAGAGAGAGAACAAAAGTTGTTTTTTGTACTCTTCTGCTGCTATTATTACAGAACCCTCGGTACTGTTTTTAATTCATTTGTTACTATTTGTATGATCTACTAGTCCTGAATCAAACAGGATGGGGAAAATGATGTTAGTAGAGTTGTTAAAGGAGATTTGAAGATCTTTTTAATGCTTTGCTGCTGCTTCAACTTATTATTATTGCAGACTCCTTTAACCTTGTTCTGTTTCTTTAACACTTTGGTGTCACAAAACCAGCAGTACAAAATACCCCATCTGGTCACCCAGCCAGGAAATCGACTGCAACAAACTTCTCGGGCCTGGCACAGAACTGTGCCAAGTGACCAGAACAAAAAATGTTCACTGACGCATTATTGCACCAAATGACTGCAAAGTGTTAACCTTCCTCTGTTTTGTTCTCACGACCAGGTGGTGCACGCCAAGAGTTTCCCGATCCTGTGTCTCTACGACGAGGATGACCTGACGGTGCCCGAGGAGCTGCAGACGGAGGTACAACAGATGATGCACCGGGCCAGGCTCAAGTCCAGCAGCTCCGAGACGGACGAGCCCGACGCAGATGCGGACATGACGGTCATCAGGCACAAGTCGCTGCGGAGGTTACGACATGGGAGTGACCGCAGTTTTGGTAAGTTGATATAGCGGTTGCTATTTTTTCTTAATGAATTCTCAAGATAGACTTTCTTACAGTTTTCTCTCATATATCTTATAACATGTCTTTGAAATCAAGACACAAAATTTCTGTAACAAATTTTTCCAGAATGCAGAACATTTTTCTTTTTGTCCAGAGAAGGAAACTGCTTGCTCATATGACCTGATGCAGTTGCGAGCGCCTTAATACACTTACCAAACAAAACAAAAAAAGAAGGAAAGTCCTTGGAGTTTTTGCCCATGTTTCTTGAACTATTTTCCGAATAATCAGTGACTTGTATCGATCTACTAATCCCTCAACTCTCTTCCTTAACAAGAAAACAGTCTCCTTGAAGATGTAGTCTGCATGTGCTACTAATGCTACTAACAGGAGCGTTTACTAATATGATGCATCTTGAAGGATAAGAGCATGACGCGAGCAGTATTGCATACAGACAGATGTAAGTCATTTTTGGCTGCCTTTGAGATACGTCTGTATGTAATACTGCCCCCGATGGATAAAAAGAGAATGAAAAAAAGTTGAAAGAAAGTAAGTGTGGAAGTAGAGCCATGTACTGATGTCTTCCCATCTGCTCCTGACGCCACGCCCACTTGCTGCTGCTGCTGTGCACTCCGGTCTGTGGCCCGCCCACCTGTCATGCCCCGCCCCTCTGCCACGCCCCCTCCCATCAATGCCCCACCTATTGACTCCCTCCCCTTCCCTTGAACCCCATTGGTGACTTTCACCACAACTCCTCTTCTCCAACCCACCCACTAATGCCTTGCCTTGTGGCCACGCTCATGCACTGGTGCTGCA